TTTTTTTTTTTTTTTTTTCGTTCTGTCGATGTTTATTTCGCATACTCGCATACATTTGCCACTCGTTTCGTAACAGATCAGGTTCGGTTATTTTCTTCCGCGATTTCATGAGATGAAATGGAAGTGCTTGCAACACAACAAGTACAATTTGTATCGGTGTTTCTAATGTACAACTGAGAATTAATGCGAGAATACACGTTTCGTTGTCTACGAGCTATCAAGCGTAATTTGAAAATGTTTCGTAAAGTGCATTCCCGGTGTTCACGGCGGTCGCAATAAGTGATACATAATGTAAACTGTGCACCGCCGTGAATATGTTCTGCGCGATATTTCATCGATTTCGTGTCACTCGATTGCCTATCGGCGAATAAACACTAACAGGCGCGGCAGTGTAGAGATTTTTAGCTGCGAGAAACTGTGTGTGAAAATGTGTGCTCCGTGTGAGATCGCATTAAATCAATGGAAATACCAGGTTTTGATCGCGATTTTGTTTGAATTCTTCTGCCGCCGAAATTCTTTTATGCAAGATCACGTACATATTAGTACAAATGAAATGTTCGCGGCTGAATTGATACGAGAACCTGCAATTTTTTACGTGATCCGCGAGAAGCATTGATAAATATTTCATTTTGTATTCCTTTTCTTTTTTTCTCTCTCTCTGCAGTATGCAGACATTATCGAGATCGTCAATTTTTTACAAAATTAAAATTTATACAATATAAAGAGAAAGAGATTAGGCTCAATAGTGATATTAGAATTGTAGATCGTCGTTTAGCTTCAGAGAAATATTAAAATTGAAACTTTCAGACGATAAAAAATTAAAGTGTTAACACTTCGTTAATTATACTTTTTCTTAAAAAAAAAAGAATACCTATCTTACACGTGAACAAAATAAATACGCATTTTTCTTGGAAAACACATTTCGTATACAAGCTTATAAATGCAGTTTAAATTTTGTTACGAACCGTCGATCGTCTTTTATAATTTTCTAGAGTTCCGAAAAACTTTGTTGATCAGAATTTCATTCGTCGAAATTTCCACAAAGTTTCATTGAAAAAAAAGAGGGGAAGAAGAAATGAAAAAATTCTGAAACTTCCTAAGGACAGCAGAGACAGATATATATACTTAACTTGTCTTGTAAAAAATTGTTCGACACTTAACGTTCACACACAGTTTCATCGACGTCGGTGTCTGGCGACGTTCGCCGCGGCAAGTACAGGAAAATAAATGAAAATTCTTCGCGCACAAAAGCCAAAAGCTGCGAAGTTGGAGGAGCATTTCCTCCTTTCATTTCGAACTGAAAGGAATTCTGGGAAATGTAGGCAGGTACCTACATGGCGTATGTTGAAAGTTTCTGGCGACTGCTTTTGAGGATTGCGATGTTCTCAATCTTCGTTTGCTTTCTCCTGGCTTCTTTCCTCTTCTTCTTCTCCTTTTTTTTTTTCTTTTCTTTTCTACGTTTTTTTCCTTCTACTAGTTTACTCGTACGAAAGAATATATATATATATTGCGTTTTGAAACCGAATTCATTCGCAGACCACAATGCGAGACATCGCATAGTAAGATTCTTCGAAACTTTGGTAAAAATAGTTTTCAACTTTTGTGTGGCTGATAGATTGGCAAAGAGACTGCTTCTAGATACTGCTTCAAGTATATATTGATTAATTCAGCGATCGATCGTTACATAAACGAATCCTTCCAATGCAAGTTTTTAATTAAAATATTGTATAAGTAATTAGTTTCCTTATTAAAATATTGTATAAGTTTCTTTAAGATAGTCCGACGTAAAATTCATTTCAAGCTATATTAAATTTATACAGCGTTGACATTTAGTTTTTAAGAAAATTTCCGTCATATAGTATATACTCTGGTTTTAGTATAACGCAATAAATATATGCGTATATATTGATTTACATTCTCTTCGTGTTGCAGCGCAATTGTGGAAATTGTTAAAAAAGAATCGTTTGATTCCTAGTTGCGTATCTGTCGTACGTAGAAAAAAGTAACAGAGTGGCTTCAAAGGAGAATTGGGTTTTTAAATCAGACAATCACTGAGACATGGTTCGTAGACCTGTATGAT